GATGTGTACTGTTATGTTAGTTCGAGTGCCTCTTACTTAAAGAAGGGCACTCAAGTCTTTTCCAATAAGTTAATAATATAATAACAGGTCTGGCCGAATCTAGGGATTGACTTTTTTCTCTAATTCGAACCAGCCTTTCTCTCTTTTCTCTCTTCTCTCTTTTCTTCTTTCCTATCCTACTTCTTGCTGTCTACTTTACTTTACAATCAACGAACAAGACAGAATTCTAGGGCAAGTCAAACTTCAACAGTGTACATAGGTCAGTTTATAGGAAATCATATGATAATTTTTTTCTCAAAAGAACTCTTTAGTTTGTCCTGTGTGGTCACCACCAGGAAGTGGACTTATAAAGTTAAACTTTGATGGAAGTAGTGAAGGAAATCCAGGTCCATCAGGTGTAGGAGGGGTTTTCAGATACGAGGATGGGAAGGTGCTCGCTATGTATTCAGGTCCCATTGGGTTGGAGACTCTCTTAAAGCTGGGGTCTATGCAGTACTGGAGGGTATAAGGAAGTCTAAGGAACTGAATATACAAAAGTTAGTCATTGAAGGGGACTCAAAACTGGTCTTAAGTTGGTTACAAGAAGGTAATGAACTTTGGAAATTTGCTAATGAGAGGAGGGAGACTAAATGGCTAACTAGAGGACTGGAAATCAAATTTCAGTGGGTCAAGAGAACAGCAAATGCATTTGCTGATGCTTTGGCAAAGCAGGGGGTGGGAAGGGGTCAAATGTTTTGAGCTGGTCTGTAACTTTTTCTTTTTTGTTATCTTCCTGGAGAGAGTTAAGCCTGTTTATCTCTCTCTGGAGTGGTGTAACTAAAATTCTTTTAATCTAATGAATTCCAGTTATTGATAAAAAAAATAGAAATCTTTTTGTAAATTCTGAGATGTAAAACTATATATTCCCACTGTATAGGTCCTTGGTGAACATGGGGCGTAAGGATTTTGATTAATACAAATTAATACTTAACCTTCAGGAAGAGAGGCTCAAACTCTTGATATCAGAATCAATAGAAGCCAAGAGACATGGTAGTAGATAACTACACCACCACCTTATCGATAGTAGTAAGCAAGTACTATCTCCTTAGTTTTTCAATGCTGCAATATAGGCTCTAAATGAATAGCACTACCTGTTTAAAGAATATAAATCTAAAAAATACATAAAAAAAAAAAAAACATTCATGATACATTCTGTTAACGAACCTACAAAAAATTATTCTCATAAACACAACAGTAAATCCATTTGAACCAAGCAATATATTACAACAGTTACCTTTCTGCTTTGAGAAATGGCTTCTTTTCCAGAGTTGGATTTCCTTAGCTTTTCAATTGATTCATAATTGCCTTGTAGACAGTCCTCATGCATAATCATTAACTTTTCTGCCACCTACATTGAACATCCAAAGAATGTATAAGCATTAAAATATCAATAGTAGGAATCCTACAGATACTTCTGGTGATTATCCCCTATTAACCACTTGTTAGTGTAGAAATCAAAATGTATAAAAAGTTGGGCCAAATACTAGAAGTCTAGAAAAGACAGAATAAAGGAAATGGGAACAAGTTTTACTGTCTTTAAGTAATCCGATAGAGCATGGTTTAAATGATTCTACAATGGTTAACTTCACTTCTTATCTAATTGGTAAAACTTATCAGTATAGATTAATGTGTACACATATTTCTTAGTTAAGTAGACCATCAACTATTAACTATTCAGTGTACAACTTATGTTAAGTTTAATGGTTGTGCTATATGATGCATGGAAAGAAAGAGGAACCATAACTTTCAAGGCCGAGTGGCAAGGAGTCCTAGAAAAGTCTTGATAAAACCTACACGAACGAATTGGGTGGTTAAAGCTCTTCACCATGAACTTGTAATCCTTTTTTCTTTTTAATGAAAGCTTTTTCTTCTTGTTATTATCAAAGAAAAGTTGGAACTTGGAACAAATCATTGTTTATTCTTCTTTTGATGCATAGAGGACTATGCATGTTTATGTTCTAGATGGTTCAATCTCATTAACCATGCAAAGTCCATGTATATAGGTATTTGGCCTTCTTTTGAAAATATTTAATATAATAGACATCACTTCAACTATCAAGAGAAAAAAAAATAAAAAAAAAAAATCCATCAGTTCCCCTCCACAATACAAGCAGCTCCACATACCCTAAAATCAAGGTTCAAACTTCAAAGTATCAGAAACACAAGGTGTATTGAAAAGACAATTTTAAGAGAAGTATCAGGATACGCTTTGGATACGCATGGATACAGACACAAATCAAGATACGCATAAATATGCTAGGAAACTCGAATAAATCCTAAAAAATATATTAATAACAATAATTACAAGTTTTATATGATTGTAAATAAGTTACTTAAATGTAAAAACCATAATTTAATGGTTTATATAAAGTGTGAGATATTGGGACACAATTAGTAACCGTTGAAATTTGAAAAATGGAGTAACTAAAATGTGAAAAAAAAAACAAAAAAAAAACAAAATGTGTATGCATATACGTTAATTTTCAAATAATCAATATAATATATCTTAATATTTATTAATATATAAATTTTAATAATTAATTCTACCATTTATTGACAAACATCCACTAAGAAAAGAGAAAATTTACTTAAAAATACAAATGCATATGACCATAGCAAACAAATTCAGTCTAGAATTAGGAGATGCAAAGAAGGCAATTAACAAGAAAATGTAAAACTTGTATACCAAGGATGTAAAAAAACAAAACAAAACAAAAGGTAATCCAGACAGCAATAACTTAGATAATCAAATCAGCTTCCATGGTTGTTCAAACTTAAAGCTACATATCTCCAATTTTGACAGTTGGAGAAGGTGAAGGTATCTATTAGTGCCCAAACACCATATATAGATCATGCTATGTGGTAATGAAGTATGTTGGCCTTCTAAGGTATATCCCAGTATAAGCAGTAAAAGTGCTCCTGCACTTCTGAAGGAACAACTGGAATGAATTTCCTTTAGGTAGGACAGTAGGATGAGGCAAGAAAAACTTTTTAGTGTGCCTTGAGAAGTGGACTAGAAACATAAGCATTATCCACAAATCATAAAATCAAGTCCCAGCCAAACACTGTATCAGAGAGTTTTGAAGAAAATTCCAAGATGAACATAATATATTGAAAGATAGAAACACAAGAAACGTTCAAGGATCTTGCACCTCAACATGAGCCTGGATTAAGTTAGACACAAATTTTTAAAAAATAAATAACAGTAAACATAAAAAATATGGAAACCTGAGTTAAAAGAAATAAATGCTTTAGAAAGCTTATTAGCTCAAATCAAAATACACTGGCATGACATATAAAATGAATCCGATTTGAAAGCAAAAGCAAACAAATGTGGATCATACCAAATTGCTTCAAACACTCAACAATTCAAGCATGTGAAACTCTCAACATGTTTGCCTATTTCCTAGTCGCATTACTTAAAATAGCTAGTGTGATGTTAGACATCTTAGAAACTTAATCCTAGGAAGTTGGGGACTTTATGACTATACCTCTTCAAGGCCCCTTGAGGCAAGTTCAAACAAATCCATATGAGGGGTTCAGAGACAATACCACCAATCTGAATTATTGGCCCATATATACAAGAGGGTAAGTTTTATGATTTTGGCCATAGTTCATTCTGTTTTAGGTTGAGGATCAAACATCAGTTGTATTGTTGTTGCTTCTTTAGTGAAAATTTTTCTACCCCAGATCCTATCCACAACAACTAAGGCTTCAGGTATCTAAAAGGTCTTTATTTCTTGTTCCTTTTAAAAATTAATGGACCATTAATAGTGCACAAGCACCAATATAGGGTAATTTAGAAGGTTATAAACCATTAAAAATGTGTAAAGCACATAAGAATGTAGAAAAATAAAACCTAAAAAACAAACTTGTAAAAGACATGCACCTGGGTCAAAGCACACAGAGACCAAAAGTGCACATTTTGAAAGGGGCTGCGCTTGGGTTGAGGAAAGGTTCGTGCTTTAAAATGTGCATAGCTAGTGCATCTAGGAAATACCTTTTAAAACACTGAGAATACAAATAAATAACAAAATAAATTCTTTTACCTAGAGACCTCTTAATGCATGAACATAAATATGCATAATTAACATGTTAGTTTATCATAAAGAACAATGTATCCCAAAATTAAAGAAACATGAATCTTAGAAGAAGGATCGGATCATAAGAACAGCTTATGGTGAAACTAGCCTACAAAATAACACAAAGAAAAGCATACCTCCTCAATGCTACCATCCTCAATCTCAGTATTGAAAGAAAACACCATGCTTTCATCGAGCATGTTTTCTAAATCATCAATGTAATGTGGCTCTGGAAAATACAAAATTGTAAGTAGATCTGTAGATGAATAAACAAATGAAGCAAAAATGATATCTTAATCGAAAATCACTTTAGAATAAAATATTAAAAATGAATTTCTTGATTCTTATTATTATTATAATCATTCTCATTTGTAACCACAATCAAACGGTTCTATTAATTTAGGAAACTATAAAACTCTCCACTAAAAGTAACTCCAGTAGCGGATAGCTTATAGCTGACAGCTTGACGCAATATAAATAGAAACATCATAATATCATCATAATGGCCTTCCCATATAGAAGAGTGTAAAATAACCTAAGATTTCAACTTGCAGACACAATGGCATATATCTGGATTTTGTTTCTCTTTATGATGCCTTACTTAAGTTTCTTTCTTCTTGTCTTGATTAAAAAGGATAATAGAATGGATTGGAATTCGCTAAACAATAAACTCGAAGTAAGATTTTAAACTCCTAATGTTACTTGATATTAACCCAGAAAACCTGAATTGTACCTTTCGATTGGGAGAACCAAGAAAAGATGCTGAGAGCAAGTTGTTCAGATTTCTGGCAGGAGTCCCTGCCACCCCACTCGTTCTCGATGGCCACTTGAAGCGCAGTCCATCGGGAAAGAACCAAGGAGATCCCCTCAGCCAAGAAAGAGAGAGCCTCCGGCGAAAGTTGCACGGGTACATCACCTTTATCACCGTTATCCATGGAACTTCATGGACACACTAACCCTAGTTTGTGCTCCTCTGTCTGTGATGGCTGGTTATCAGAGACAAAGAAAAGAAGAAAGGCAAATAGAGTATCAAAAATGTAAAAGTAGAATTTAAGGCCTTTTTTTTCAAATTTCTTAAAATACCTCTATTGTTTAAATAATTGACTAATTATATCCTAGTATTTAACTATTATCTTGTACGACTTCTATTTTTTTTTACAATTATCTAAAATTTCCCTTACCGTTAATGAACTGTCATAAACCGTTCACATGTAACATTATCTGATTAATATATTTTCAAAAATTCCAAACTTACTCTCTCAATACTTTCAGGAACTCAGTGGCGATGTTACTCGCTCATGGTCTTGTGGTGGAATCATATTTTGCCATAGACAAGTAAAACACGAAGGGCTTTTGCCATGGATTTCGTGTGACTGGGTGAGTGTTGAAGGCACTATGTAGTGTAGTCAACCTTCCCGTACCAATTGAGGAAAGTTCTTGAAGGTATATCCATCTCTCGGGTGAGAATACACCCCAAAATATCTGAACGGCGAACCCCCAAGAAACGGAGAGTATCCAGCTCTTTTCTTTGTCATAGCATATGGACTACTGCATGAGGCCAGCCGAGTCGAGCTTCATTGGCCCCGCCATTGCAATGGAAGGAGTTTCGGGTTTCTCTATTATCAAGATGAAATTTCATAAAGGGAGGTGGTTAGGCATTTTGGCAGAAATTCTAAGACAATACTTTGTAATGGGAAATCTTGTTTTGCGAAAGAGGGAGAGGATAACTCTTCAACCGCTTTGCTTAGTTGCTTACCGACAATGGTAGAGAAGAGCAGGCGCTCACATCTCCTCAGGAAGTTCCAGTGCAAATGGTTCTTCAATCTCAGCCTTCTTATGATGTGATCGATGAAAGAGAGTGGGGTCATGGGGTTCATCTTCTAGTTAAGCGTGAAGAGCATTAGAAGTTCCATCCTCTGAATCGTTTTCTCCTGGAACACATACTTTGTCAATGCTTTGTCAAAAGAAAAAAGGTGGGCTAGGTATTGTAAACCTAATATGCCATATTGGATAAAAAGAATTGATAATTCCTTTGTTAATGCTTTGTCAAACAAGGGGTGAGAAGGTATCAACTTTTCTAAACTGTGTTGTAACTTAGGTAATCAGTTTACATTTCAGAGAGAGTTAAGAGAGTTCACCTCTCTTTGTGGTATACCTTTGTAATTATTTTATCTTAATGAAAATTTTCTATTATTGAAAAAAAAATTCTTATGGAGATTTTTCCCTTGAAAGGGATAGGCTTCGGCACAAGGTTATTGCAAGCATTGTAGTGTGCAAGACAATGGTTGAGATGCAAAGGTAGCTTCCTTTTCCATTTAAGTTCCCCCTTGAAAATCTATACAAGATATCTAACTTTTCTTTATTCATTATGATGTGGGAGGTGGGAATAGAGTTCTCTTTTGGGAGTTGAGTTACCCCTTATGGTGTAATACCCTCTTCTTTACACTCTCTAGTTACAAACATGAACCTATTTCATCATTTGGAACCTTTTCCCAGTTTTGGCTTAAATTAAGTACATTTGTCCCTCCCCAAACTTTGCATTTAGTGGGAGCCTTATACACTAAACTGCCCTTTAAGGGGGCTGAGAGATGATGAGTTTATTTCTCTTGTTCAACTTTTAACCAAACTGGAGTCAACCTTTTTGGTTCAAAAATTGGAGAAAATGAGGGTCTAGTCATCTTATCCTTATGATTATTTCACTTTTTCTTTTTTATTTAAAATTCTTCAACATTCCACTAATTTAGAGAACTTTTGGATGAAAGAGATTTGGAATAAGCCTATCCCACCCAAGTGCAAACCCCATGTTGGAAAGTCCTAATAAGAAAGATAAATACATGTCATTTGCTACAAAAGAGAAGGCCAAACATGTTCCTCTCTCGGGATCTCCCCACTTGTGTTTCCTTTGAAAAGCTAGTAGTGAAACTTTATTCCATCTACTTCATGTCCTTTTGTACTATTTGTTTGAGAATACTTTTGCTCTCTATTTGGTTGCAAGTGGGTCTAGCCCCAAGATGTGATTAGTTTCTTTAACCCAAACTTCTTAAGGCAGCCAAAAAAGAGGGAGAATTATGTAGAAGATAGTGAGAGTAGCAATGGTGTGGATGACTTAGGAAGAAAGGGATGGGAGAATTTCAATAAAATAAAATAGATCCAAGGAGGACTTAGTAGAGTATCAAAAGTTTAAAGTGGCACATTGGGTAAAAACTGTTGGATTTTAATCTCAAAAGAGACTAAATCCAATGTGTTAGATTGATCAATTACATGAGAAATTGTACTCGAATCCTATTGAAGTGGGAGATTCTCTAATAGTTGACTTAATGGCCTTACTACAAGGTTTGAGATTAACAAAACAATATGGCTTTAACTCATTGGAAGTAGAGGGAGATTCTAAGTTGATCATCACTTGGGCAAAAGGCTTCTGCCCTACCTCTTGGTGTTACAAACATAGTTTTAGGGAGATAGATTGCCTATCGAGGGAATTAAACACCTTCATGTGGGTTAGAAGAACTGCAGATGGGATGGTGGATGCATTAGCAAAACAAGAGGTGAATAAAAATCAACTTTTTTGGGCACTATTGTGAATCCTTTGTTTTTTCTTGGGTGTATGGAAAATCTCAAACTCTTTAATTTGTTGATAAAAAAATGCATTTCCACCAATTCAAGATGCTTCTAGTCTCTGCCAAGTAATTTGCCAACATCAAAGGTCCACTATCCATCTTTCTCAATCATCTGGTTGTGTTTTTGAATCGCAATTGATGCTCAGGCTTGAGATATCGAAGTCTCTAACAATATGAATCCTAGTTAGCGTAGCTAGCATCTTAACTTTAGTGGGATAAGCAAGTAAGAAACCCCCTTTTGGGGAAAAATGATAGAAGTAACAAAAATCCCAATGCTCTTGTCCAGTGATGAGTAGTCTTCTAAAGTTTGAAAACTACTAAAACAAGAGCATCAACAAAAAATTTATCCTAGAGCTTCAATTTATTTTCCATGTTTGTAAGCTACATGGTACCATTTTCTCGGTAAATGAAAATATCTAAATCAAATGAATTCTTACAAAGAAAAAACAAAATCAAATGAATTATACAAATTGTACTTGATCGTTTTGGTTGAAATGCGACGATAATCGGACCATTGTTCCATGATCATCTTAGCATTGGTTAAAATGTGGTGTTTGATGGTGATTTTGGATCCGATGTGTGATGGATATGATAGTTTTAGGATCATTCTTCATGCTGAAATGCAATGCTTCATGTTGATCTTGGATTTAATGACCTACACCCATTTGCCACCCATATTAATTGCATGTTAATGGATTGTGGTCCACCCTAATACACCTATTTTGACTTGCTTATCCAAACTAAACATTTTTTCATTTTTTTTATAGTTAAGCCAGCCCATATATCCAAAAAATCAAATTTAAGAAAAACAAACTTATGTCCCTTCTTCTAGTTGTCAAATAGCAGAACCAGGTTGGGATAAATCGTATACCCGAAAATTCTAATTTAAGAGAAGCCTGACCCCTATCCCTTCTCTTGTCTGCAACATTGTAGAACTAAGCTAGGTCAACCCTGTTAACCCACAAATTCCAATTGAAGAGTAATTATGTCCCTTCCTCTAGCTGTCACATGGTAGAAATAGATTGGACCAATATGGTTGACCCTAAAAATTCCAACTGAAGAGTAAAATGGCCATTGCCCCTTCTTCATGCTACCACATGACAGAACTAGGTCAGGTCAACCCAAATAACATGAAATTCGTAAGGTAAAACCTTGAATTGTAAAAAAAAAAAAAAAAAACATAAAAATATAGAAATATAGAAATTCCAAAAAATTTCATGAAAATTGTATGATTTGTAGAAAATTGAAAGAAAATGTAGGAAAATTGCAAAAATTTTCAATTTGCTAAGAAAATATATTTTAGTATTTAACTCATTCCTTACTGCACCAATGTGCTCTACTGTTCAAGCCCAATAGTCCTAAGTCACAAAAAGATTGCAATTTAGAATTGGCATATTCAAAAGATAAATTAGTTTCACAACCACTTTCCCTATAAGAATAATTTATTCAATTATGAGATATTAAGTATTATTTTATGAATTCATTGGTGTGGATGAATATATCTCCCTACAAACTAAGAAAATATATTGATAGAATTTAAAGATAAAAGTTTTAAGATTAAGGAGGTGTTTGACAAGTTTTTTTAGAAATATCTTCTAAAAGCTTAAGACCTCAAAAGATTGAAGAGCTTTCAAAAGTAGATCTTCAAAGACCAAAAGATCATTTGGCAAATAGTAATTGTGGGTCTCACTTACACTTTTATTTTTTTATGCAAAATATTAAAGTGGGCCCCATTAATATATTTCCCTATACAAGATATCAATGTAATCCCTTTGGCATATGTAATTATCACCTATGAGTTCTATTCACACATTCACCTATACAAAAAATCAATGTGGGGCCCCACATATTTCCAGACATTAAAGGACAAGTACCTACATTGACACATGGGTCATCTTTGATGTCCACACATTAGGTATAGTTATAACATGACTTAATTCCATATATTCCATATAATATATGATATGAAATTAATTCATCATATAAAAAGTAATTATTTTAACAAACATGCAATTACTTTAACATGAGTACTTTTTTTGACAAATAGTTCAACATAAACAATTTGATACGTGTCACTAAATAAAAACACAACACTTTTGAGGAAAAAACAATAATTATGTTACCCACCTTCTTCAAATGTTCTTTGGCCGAGGGCGAGTAACTCCCAAGTTGCAATGCTCTTCCATCCAAAACATAATTTTATCTCGTAGTAGTTCTATTGTTTACATGCTTAGGACCCAACATTAACTAAAGTAAAATTTAGTAAAGCTAATTCAAGTTAGCTTTAGACCTGAAATTATCTGTTCTAACTTCCAACAGAAGTTCAAGTAAGATTCTCAAGTGTAGATCAAGTAACTGTAATAGCGTTATCAATAGCTTTACAAGGCTTGAAATGGGCTAGGAGTGACACTT